GCCATTTTCCACTAACTGCCGGTGTCCCTGCCGGTTCGCTGCCGGTCAGCTGCCGATGCACAGTGGACGGGAGGGCAAAGACGGCTATCAAAGAATGGGGTCACTGGGTACCGGGGTTGGTTTGTCAGACTGTCACTCTTAGCGGCGAGAGGTCCGCTTGCCTGCCACCCCTACCAGAGACTGCGACATTATGCTCTCTGAATCTTGCTACAACTGCGCGTGCATGGAGCACTGCTCCTACTTCGCTTGTCAGACTTTCTAGTTCTTTGCAACTCTCACCGATGGGCCACACGCACTCGACGCCGTCGGTCCCCTCGCTCGTGCCCGCCAACACCTCGATCATGACGCTCCACAACGACATGGGATCCCTCACCCTCCCATCCCTCCCGCCGCTGCCGAGCGAGACAGACGGGGCGACTGTGGAAGGGGCAGTCACGCACGTCGAGGTCGTGGATGGGCGCGGGTTCCGGAATCCGGTCGAGGGCGGGGGAAGTATGATCACGGTGAGTCCGTGTCGAGGGCCGTCAGGCCCGAGGCCCGCGCATGCCCGCGCAAGGCTCCCGCACAGCTCTGTCTAAAGCGAGCGGAGCTCCATGTGTCCACAGACTCAGTGGTCAAATGGACGAGTCGCCCCCGCTCCCGGACGATAAGACTACTGGGTGCTCGTGCAGTTCTCCAGGTACTGGTCACGACGGAGCCGAGCGCGGGCCGATCCGACCGTAGACGTTCGACGCAGACGTTCGACGCAAGGAACGCGGAACGCGGAATGCGTGATAAGCATCTGAGGCTGACACGCTGACACGCCACAGCGCTGGCTCAACCCCGAATCGCTCGGCGAGCCGCTCAACCTCATCGTGTCTGGGGCGAGCGACGCCGAGATCCTCGTGGACCAGAAGCTCAAGGGAGGGTTCAGGAATTACATGCTGTGAGTCATCGTCGAGCGGTGGGCGCTGCTTCTCGTCCCTCGCACTGCTCGCACTGCTCGCACTGCTCGCACAGCTGTCTGCTGTTGGCTCGAGTGGTCGGAGTAGTCAGAGTACGCTCGCGCTAGTACGCTCGCGCCCGCTTCGCGGACCCTCGCTGACCACAGCTCCGGGTACATGTCCGACGAAGCGTTCGGGCTGCACCTGGGCGACCCGCAGCTGGCGGATCTCGGCGACGGGCGCGGTGCGCTGAAGCAAGTCCGCGAGCTGCGGCACAACTACGGCGAAGTCCTCCTCGGCACGCTGACCGAGACGCTGATCGGCGGCAACCACCTGCGCTACTGGAAGCAGGGGGGCAGCAATGCCTACTTCCTTGCTGCTAGTGCTGAGAAGAATGTCCAGGAACACCACGACATTGTGCCCGACGGGTATGACTTGGGCCGGGACCAGTTTGTCGGCAAGCTGGTGGGATATGAGATCAAGGGCAAGCCGAAGGCTGGCGATCGGTTCAAGGGGGAGTCCCACGCGCTCGGGTGGACGTACGAGACTAGCGTCGAGTATGTCGATGGGCTGCTTGCTGTTGACCAGGGTGAGTATGCGCAGCGAGTTGGCCTGACTAGTGACGCAACGCTAAGATGACTCACACGCTCACACATTCTCCTCGCTTGCGCTAACCCCAGCCACGATCAACCACCACGACACGGTCAGCGTCGACGGCAAGACGACAGATGGCCTCGTCGCCCTCCTCACCGTGCGCATCAAGAAGCGTGGCATCCTCTGAGTGTCTATCAATAACGAACGTAATGACGGGTATGCGACGGACAATGGACATTTGGATATTAATTCTGTGCCCCGCCCTGCTGAGATGTGACAGCCCTATACTCGAAGAGCGCGGGCACGAACCGCTCCTCGTCGATCTGCACGCTGCCCAGCAGCCCACCATCCTCCGTTGAGGGAACGAAGCAGCGCTGCAGAGCCCAGTGGTACTCCTTCGGCACGGCCGCGAAAGTCCCCGCGTCCCAGCCCAAGGGACAATAGCTCCTCGCGTCACCGCGCACCATAGCGCGGACAGCAGCGTGCGCGAGGTCCGGACTTCCCAGCTCTGAAGCAGTCACGAACGTAGCGAGCGTCTCCGGCGCACTTGTCCGTGAACTGCCCAGTGCCTCCGTGATCGCGAGCAGGATCTCGCCCTGTACTGGGAACTCGTACCGGTGTGCCAGCCTGAGTACGGGCAGCAGGCGATCGAGACCAGCACTGGCGAGGGAGATGTCGCGACTGGGACTTGGGCTGGGACTCACACTGACGCTCGCGCTGGCGGATGGCAGAGAGGAGAGCGAGCTGCCGTGTCTGGAGTCGGAGCCCGAGCCGCCAGACCCATTGCCTGGCGGAAGGAGGTCTGGTGCAGAGCTCGTCGGCGCGAGCGGAGAGGTGAGCGGTCCCGAGGCGATGGAGGCGCTGCGCGACGCCAGCGTCGACTCGGACCCAATACCCGAGTCGAGACCTGAACTGCCCGAGTTTCCGCTGTCGGGGGAGAGGAGCGATGGGCGGGTCACGCTCGCTGCGCCCGTGTCGGCCTCGGCGGCTTCGGTCGCCAGGTTGGCGCTCTGGAAGTCCAGCAGGAGGTGCACGGCCTTCTCGTCCGCGAACGTGTCTTGAAGCTGGATCACGCGTGTGTGTTGAGCAACGGCGTAGAGTGTACTGTGTGTCAACAACTGACTTGAACTGAATCACTTACGAGCCGTGGAGGTGTTGCCGGTCTATGCGGAACTTGACCCCGTCGACTGAGTGCAGCTCCCACTCGCCCGAGGAGAAGTACCGGTTGGAGACGACTTCGACATCCTCCGTCGCTGCCATTGCCGCCGGTGCGGCCTCACCGCCGTTCAGGTGTGTGCTATCCGTGATCGTCATGGTTTAACTGCCGGGTGTCGATCGTCGAGATCGTCGAAGAGTGTGGCGCCGAGGAGGCAAGGAATGGGGCGGAAGAGGTAATGTCAGACGAGAAGGGGAGAGAGCAAGGAATGTGCAAGTAGCACGCGCGCGATAAGACGGGTGACAAACACGGCCTTGGCTAGGTTATAAAGAGCTCTGGGTGCCCAAAAGAGACATGAACTAGAGAAGGCTAAGAAGCTGCCGGGGATGCCGCCGACGATGATCGCGATAAGCTCGATTGCGCCGGGTGTGACGTCTTGTTTACTCGCTCGGGACGTTCGCGCAGTCAGAGACTAATAGATGTTCCGGAACGCGGACCGTAAAGAGAACACAGAGGAGCGTAGGAGGGAGCAAAGAGGAATGCTAGAGGCAACGGAGAGCACAAAGTCAACAAGCAAACCCACGCGCAGCAGTCGAGTAAGAAACACTAAGCAACGCTTAACCTCCCACCCATCAAACTAGTATGCAACGAGGGCGGTGCTGCGCCTCGTCTGTAGGCGCATTACACGCTTTATTCGCCCCGGCTGATGCTCGAGTCACGGCGCGTTGTTCGCTTGCCTTGCCACGGGGGGTCACCAGGCGCGGGACTAGTGGACGGCGGCGGGTGGCGGCCGGTGCAGCGGGGGAGACGGTAGTGGGTGTCGGCAGCGGTAGCATCTCGGTAGCCACTGATAGCGGCGTGAGAGAGATCTGACCAGCGGCGCCAGCGGCGCCAACTGCCCTAGCCTGCAGATCGGCCGCTGAGCCGGGGCTGGTAGCGGTTCACGGACCGAGGGAAAGAGAGGGCGGGAAGACACTGCGTGCTGCGCTCTCTGCGCTGTCCGCAGGCTGTGACACGACGAAGACCTAAACGTTACACCCTGCTGGTATTTGCAGGTCCACATCGAGTGGAGATGCAAGTCAGCAAGAGGTCAGCAAGATCTGCGCCACAATCAACCGTCTCCCCACTTCCTACTTCTCGAGATCGCCCTCTCAGCGAAGACGTTCGGCTTTCGGGCGAAGGGCGAAGAGCGCACACTCAACGTCATACCCCTGTGCCGAGGACCGCGGTGGATCTGGCCCTCACTCGCATCTCACGCATCCCGGCGGAAAGCACTTGCCCAGATTGACCATTCAACAGCACGCGGTAGATGGTGTGTTTCCTGCCATTTTCCACTAACTGCCGGTGTCCCTGCCGGTTCGCTGCCGGTCAGCTGCCGATGCACAGTGGACGGGAGGGCAAAGACGGCTATCAAAGAATGGGGTCACTGGGTACCGGGGTTGGTTTGTCAGACTGTCACTCTTAGCGGCGAGAGGTCCGCTTGCCTGCCACCCCTACCAGAGACTGCGACATTATGCTCTCTGAATCTTGCTACAACTGCGCGTGCATGGAGCATCGCTGCCAGCTACTGCTAGGCACGCGCTCAGCTACCCACTCAGCACCTATGCATGAAATCAACACTGGTCCGGGTGACCGACCGAAGGCCGAGCGAAGGACACGCAGTCCGAACCCGATGTGCCGTCAGTGCCGGTGCCGAGGAATGGAGTGATCGCTGAGGCATGGCGATCACCCGGCACGCCGCGGTATGCTTGGCACTCGGCGTAAACAATGATCACCTCGTTTGCAGCCAGCGGTAGTATGCAAGCGGCGCACGCGGCGCTGCGCACGTCATCGTAGCTCCCCTGCTAGTTCAGTCGGGGCGCAGCAGCAGCAGCTTCAGCCCATCGGGCGTACCCAGTCCGTCGGCCTAACGTCGGACGTACGGCTTCGGGCTTGAGCCCAGCGTGGTCACGGCCTCGTATCCCAGCGCGAGAGAGGCGTCAGAAGCATCAGCCGGCGTCTTGGATCGACGCTCGTCAGCCTGACAATCCGCCCAAAGCTCGCATGTCGAGCTAGAGGACTCGACTCCAACGTTCAGGCAGCCTAGACGAACAGCTAGTGCGTGATTCCCAATGTCGTCAGGACGTCAGTGGCGCCAGGCTCTAAGACAGCTAGCGCTACGGCGGTACTCTCCCTGAACCAGGACGGGAAACTCTGCTCTCTGTCGAGCTGCAACTGTCAAGACCCCAGGTTATCCCTATTGTATGCATTGATCGAAGTATTGGCAGTGAATGTGGCTATAGACAAGCGGGTCTATCTTTTGGACAGTTGGACAGTTCGAGAGGCAAAGTGGATGTACACAAAAGCTCTACTCTAAACTTAAACAGCGAAGTGTGGGCGAAGTGGATAGCGAAGGACTAGATTTTAATGTGTTTGCGTGGCCAGTATATGCGTGTGTGTGTGTGGTGTGGATGTGGTGGATTGTGGATAATAGAGATGAAAAACGAAACCCCAAGAATTATAGATTGCGAGGCTCTCGCCGGCATTAGCTGAAGGTCGCCGGTGAGTTATAGGACGAGACGCTCGCTTGCGCTCGCTGAAGGTGGGACACTCGCTTCGCTCGCGTCCCGCTTAGACGACGACCTTCTCCGACTCGAGCGTGGGCTCGATCCTCTCCTGGGGGATGGGACGGAGGCCGCTCGGGCTCGGGGGCTCGGAGGACTTGTCGCTGTCGTCTGCCTTGTCCTTCTTCTCGCGCTTCTCGGCGGCGGCGGCGCTGCTCTCGGCCGGCGTGGAGGTCTCGGACGCGTCGTCAGAGACAAACGAGTCGGCGTCGGTGTCATACTTGTCGGACCAGAAGTGCTTCTGGCCCTTGGCAAGGCGCACAGCCCAGGCGGGGAAGAAGCCGCCCTCGATCTTGTAAGTCCACGGCTCCTTCTCGTCCTTGTTGGGGGGCACGAGCTTGCCGCGCGAGATCTTCTCGAGCAGCCACACCATGACGTTGATGATGATGTAGGACATGATGCCGGCGATCAGGCCGTAGGCGATCGAGTACGTGAAGGGCATCATGCAGATGGTGAGGAAGGCCGGGATGCTGTCGCCAAAGTACTTCCAGTTGATGAAGCGCGCCTCGGCGGCCATCTGCGCGCCCACAATGATGAGCGTGCATCCCGTCGCCCAGGGCGGGAAGGAGGCGAAGATGGGCGCGAAGAAGACGGCGATGAAGAAACAGAACCCAGTCGTCATGGCCGTGATGCCCGTGCGGCCGCCCTCGGAGATACCGGCTCCAGACTCGACGAACGCGGTCACGGGCGGGACACCGAGCACGGATCCGATCGAAATACCGAGCGCGTCGACGGTGTAGGCCACGGTCGAGTTCTCAAAGTCCTGCGTGCGCTTGTTGAGGAAACCACCGAAACGGGCCATGGCGTACAGCGTGCCCGTCGCGTCGAGAATGTCGACGTACAGGAAGGAGATGAAGGCGAGGCCGAACTGGCCCGCGTGCTCCGACATGTTGAAGTCGATGACATTGAGCGTGTGCTTGATGGGGTGGAACGTGACGACCTGCTTGAAGAAGTTGAAGCCGTCGTCGCCGAGGGGCGTGTGCGGGAAGTAGGTGACGGGCGAGTTGCGGGGCCACGAGATGATGGACACGAGCAGGATACCGGCAATGATGGCGCCCTTGACGCGGTACATCATGAGCATGACTGTGAAGACGCCGCCGCAGAAAATACCCAGCCACAGGGTGGGGTTGCGCATCTTGTCGCTCGAGGGGCAGAGACCCGTCTCCGGGTCCTTCATGGCGGGGTGGCAGCCGGCGAGCTCGATCGGCGTCGCGTCGGCTCCGGTAATGAGACCAATACCAGCAGAGTACGTCATGCCGATGAGCGTGAGGTAGAGACCGATACCGACCGCGGTGGCGAGCTTGATCGAAGCGGGAATAGCGCGCGCAAGCCACTGACGGATGCCGAGCCAGGTGAGACCGACAAAGACGAAACCCTCGACAAAGACGGCGGCAAGCGCGACCTTGTAAGGAATCAGGCCCGAACCGTGGTATCCGACAACAGTGTAGGCAAAGTAGGCATTGGTGCCCATTCCAGTCGCGAGGCCGATGGGCATGTTGGCGAACGCGCCCATGCAGAACGTGACGAGGGCGGAAATGGCGGCAGTGGCGGTGACAATGTCGCGCTTCACCTCCTGCACGCACTGCATGTACTCGACGTTGGAGTCGCAGAGGTCGCCCATCGACTCCGGGGGGCAGACACAGGGGCCGCCAGACTGGGACACGATCGACGCGTTCACACTGATAATGTACGCCATCGCGAAAAAGGTCGCGAGACCGGCGCGGATCTCGTTCGTGAACGTCGTGTTCTTGCGCTCCTTACGCTGGGTTGGTCAGCGGGTTTGCTCCGCGAGCATCCAGTCGCTCGCTGCGTACTGCGGCTCGTCGCCACTGTGCATCCTGCCTCCTGCACCAAACGCAGGATGCTAAAAACGCAAGCCGATGCGAAGAACACATCCGTAGCTAGTGCGATGCGATATCGCCACTAGCTAAGGTGCGAACCACACATGACGCGCCCAAAATTCTTACTCACATGGCCACTTCCCTCGAGGCGGAAGTACTTGCCAAAGTAGGACTGCGCGACGCGCGCGTTGAGCTTGTCGAGGAAGCGCATTTTGTGCTCTAGGTTGCAGAGCTCGTGGATGCCGAGCGGCGAAGAGGTGACGAGGGGGGTCGTCGAGAGACGAGGGAGGAGGATACAAGTTATAAAGATATGGGTTGGGAAAGGTTTTCGTCCGGGTCGCGGGTCGCGGGTCGCGGGTTCGCAGGTCGCCGGCAGAGGAGCAGGCGTGCAGGCGGATGGCCTTCCGAGTGGGTGGGACAGAGATTTCGGGCTCAAGCTGCACGGGCAGTGACTCTGGTCCTCTTCCTTGCCTGGCTGGCTGCTGAATTTTGCCGGGGTCTGGTCCCCTCTCAGCTCAGGCCAGGCCGAAGACCCGGAGGACCCGGACAACGCTTATCGCAGCCTTGGCCATGCCCTGTCGCCGGCCTGTGGGCTCCACCACCCAGCTCCAGACATAGGCACTGGGCGTCTGGCGTCTGGCAGCTGGGCTTGGGGGGCCGGCGAGCCTGGCTTGGCTCCACCTCTAGTCCAATCCTCTGGCAATCCGCCGATGCCCAAGCGAGTCAAAGATTACGGTTGGGACCTGTAATCTGTAATTTTATGTGAAGGATCACTTATCGGCGTCGCGCGATTTGGCATTGCCAAGCTGCCCTCCAGGGTCCGGAGGAGTGTCCAAAGGAGGGGAAAGAGGGGCAAATCAGGGCTCCCACGTGCCTCACCCTCAGCTCACAATCTCACCTCAGCAGCTGATCTCTGCTCTCATGCCTGTCACACCGGCGACCCACGGCGAACACAGGGACAACAGTCCGGCGTCTTTTTCCTGGCCGAAATTTCCAAGGCTGCAAAAGGGTGGCTCAAAGGGATCGACCCATGCTGCTCATGGCTCATGCTCACGCGCACGTACTTTTGACGACACTTCGTAAAACCTCGGAGGTGTGGCCATTCCTATCCGCCAGATCTTCCGCCTTGCACCGTGTACCTCCGCCTGCCCGCCTGGACCTCCCTGGACAACGCGCCCGTCCTCGCCGAGAAGCCGGGGTAGGGTGGCCCCGCGTCCACTAACCGGCCATGGCTCCTCATGGCTCACGATGGCTGCATTTGCCTATCACGCGACCAAAAACGTACCCATGCTATCGCCTCTGGGCTTATCCGCAGTGTTATCCGAACTCACCACTGTGGAAGTACAGGCGCCACCTGCATATAGCACGGACGTAGGCTTCGGCCTATCAAGGAGAGTCTCAGCGGGATGTCTCCAGACTGATGAAACGGGCTCACTTGGGCCCGGCACGCACTGACCAGAATGCTCAGGCCCGGGGCCAGAAGGCTGAGATTGTCCCGTTTCACAATCGCAGGATCGCAGGATCGCAGGATCCACAGGATAGAAGGAGGAATGTATCACGACGACTTGGCTTGGGTTTCTGGCGATACAAACGAACAGCGAGCGGATGGTCCGGCCGCTCGTGACTGCTGGCTTCACAACCGGGAGCATCGCAGGCATCGCTGATAAGCCCCTTCAGCTTTCGACGGCTGGAGGAAACGGCTCGAACAGGCGTGATGGAGGCGTGGACGAGGCGTCCGATTCTGGGCGCGTGACTGCTTGCTTGGCATGTAAGCGTGATCCCACGTCCAGGACATGATGCGGCTTGATGTTACCTCATTCACGACCGATGACAGCGAGTCTCGGCCGGATTCTCCTTAGCGATGAGTGCAGCTTGATCTCAGTTACTCACCCTCCGTGACAAGCCTGTGTTCGGGATAGTTACATATCGCTCACCAGCGGACTGCACAGCTGTCGGTGTGAGGAGCCGTGTTGTTAGGTGTCGGGTTGGCTACCCCCACACGCTCCGGTCAAAGCGCTTTGCGCCGCGACAGATTGAGGCAGCCTGACTGTGAAGATCGAGCGTTCGGCGGAGTCATAAACACGGGCGGTCAGAGACGGGCGGTTCGTAGTGGGGGGAAGTGCGCGAGACTTAAACCTGGGCCGAGTTTTGAGTGACAGAGTCCAGCATTCACTTCCGGCGTTCATCCTGCGCTTCAGTCGCAGTCAGCTATGGTAGGTAGCAAGAGTTGAGGTGAGTGATTCTAGGATATGCAGACCTGAGAACGAGAATCTGCGGCGACACCTGTGCTTATGAAGTGCAAAGACATCCCAGTCGACTGGTCCGTTTGTCTCAGATGACGGCTCCGAGATCCACCTCGTCTTCGATCATAAACGGAGTTGTCCGTTATGCCAATTGTGTTAATGCCACACGACTGCCTTGCCTCTTCTAGTTGACTACGCTCAGCTTCTCTTAGACTACGCTCAGCTTCTCTTGGCGCTGACTTTGCGGATCCGACGCATGCAACGTTTCTTCAGTGCTGTTGTGAGTGATGCGCTGCTCCCATAACTATCATGAAGGTGGCGCTTCCCTACCTGTTCTCGTGCTGGACTCTGCCTGGTCAAGTCGTTCAAGCCTGCGCACTGGAGCACGCGGTGGTGACTCTACTCTGCTGTTCGCTGCGCCCTGCGCAAGCGGGTCTGCTGCTCACGACGCACTCGCTCCGCTCGTGCGCTTCGCTCGTCTTTACGTCATAGTCATACATGACCTACGAAGAACGCAGCACGCCGTCTCATCACGAGACACCGGGTTCAGCAGCCCGGGCGTGGCGAAGAAAAGGAGGGTAGGAGGGTAGGGATAGGGGATGTTTGGGGCGACGCTGCGACGACAGGGCTGCCGCCGGGTCGTCGCCATGGGGGGTAGAAAGGAAGGTTTGCAGGTTGAGTGCCTACGACGGAAGAAGGGGAGCTTAAATCTCCTCCTCCTGCTCGAACTGCTCCTCCTCGAGGAGCTCGTCGTCGTAGAGCTCGTCGTCGGCAGAGGCCTCCTGGTACTGCATGTACTCCTGGCAGAGGTCGACAAGGTTCGACTCGGCCTCGGAGAACTCGAGCTCGTCCATACCCTCGCCGGTGTACCAGTGCACGAAGGCCTTGCGACGGTACATGGCCGAGAACTGCTCGCCGATACGCTTGAAGAGCGACTGGATCGAGGTAGAGTTGCAGATGAAGGTCGACGACATCTTGAGGCCACGGGGAGGAATGTCACACTGCGCGGCAGCGACGTTTCCGGGGATCCACTCGACGAAGTAAGCCGAGTTCTTCGCCTGGCGACTGTTAGCTTTGCGCAGAACTGGTAGCTATAAAGCAAAGAAAGAGGGTGACTCACCTGGACGGTCTGGAGCTGGTCCTCGACCTCCTTCATGGAGACCTTTCCGCGGTAGATGCACATGACAGTGAGGTAGCGGCCGTGGCGGGGGTCCGAGGCAGCCATCATGTTCTTGGCGTCGAACATTTGCTGGGTGAGCTCGGGAACCGAGACGGCGCGGTACGAGGCGGAGCCGCGCGAGGTGAGGGGCGCGAAGCCGACCATGAAGAAGTGCAGACGGGGGAAGGGGACCATGTTGACGGCGAGCTTGCGGAGGTCCGAGTTGAGCTGACCGGGGAAACGGAGACAGGTCGTGACACCCGACATGACGACCGAGACGAGGTGGTTCAGGTCGCCGTAGGTGGGGGTCGCGAGCTTGAGGGTACGGAAACAGATGTCGTACAGCGCCTCGTTGTCGATACAGAAGGTCTCGTCCGAGTTCTCAACGAGCTGGTGGACGGAGAGGGTGGCGTTGTAGGGCTCAACGACGGTGTCGGAGACCTTGGGCGAGGGGACGACCGAGAAGGTGCACATCATGCGGTCGGGGTACTCCTCACGGATCTTGGAGATGAGAAGGGTACCCATACCGGCACCGGTACCACCACCGAGCGAGTGGGTGATCTGGAAGCCCTGGAGGCAGTCGCATCCCTCGGCCTCGCGACGGACAACGTCGAGAACCTGGTCAACGAGCTCAGCGCCCTCAGTGTAGTGGCCCTTGGCCCAGTTGTTACCGGCACCCGACTGTCCAAAGACAAAGTTGTCGGGGCGGAACAGCGTGCCGAGGGGACCGCCACGGATCGAGTCCATCGTTCCCGGCTCCAGGTCAATCAAGACGGCGCGGGGAACGTACTTCCCAGCAGCGGCCTCATTGTAGTAAACGTTGATACGCTCGAGCTGAATGTCGTTGGTTCCCTTGTACGAGCCGTCGGCCTGGATGCCGTGCTCCTCGGAAACAACCTCCCAGAACTTGGCACCAATCTGGTTACCACACTGGCCGGTCTGAAGGTGGACAATCTCGCGCACTGAACGGGACATTGTAGAGTCGAGCGTATATGCGTTTACACG